AAATATCCCCCGGATTGAGATATTTTCTGGGGGATACAGCTATACAGCTGTAAAGTGTGTATTGCAAGGAACATGGCCGGCCAGATTTTGGAGCTGCAGGTGGCCGGCCGGCCACCTCCCCTAGCCGGCCCGCTAGGGGTCAAAAAGGTCAAGTTGATTTTCTGGCCGGCCACCACAAAAAGGTGTCCTCCCAGGTCCCCTCATCACAACCCTATGGTTCAAAATTGGCAACTGTAAAACAGGAGGGACAACAAGCCACTTCCAAGGGGGGTCAAAAGGGTCAAATGGAATTAATGGCCGGCCACCAACTTTTAGGGTCCTTCCAAGTGTGTACATCACAAATATGTGGTTTGGGGTTGAAGAAAGTGGGCCCAAGGTGTTCAACGTTGGCTCGGAAGTGAGAAAAACGGGCGTCGGATGGCGAAAATGGAATATAACTGGTTGCTAAGATAATTGCTGGCCTCCCACCCTCCAGTGACCTTCCCGGTGATGAAACAGAGGTACCTGCCAAAAATAAACAAAAACCGACGCAAAACGAATGTTCGGGGACCAAAACGCACAGTTCGGGGTCCCGAAAATGGGCTGTTAAGCACAGAAAATGGCATTCGGCCACGAAGTGGGTTTCTCAGACCCCAGTGTCCCTCAAAAGGGAGTAAAAAGGAAGTATGCCAAAAACCGGGGCAAACGGAGATGGTTAGGCGGTCCCGAACCGAGGCACACGGCCAACGGTCCCGAAAAACCGGAATCCGGGCTCCGAAATGGGCAAAATGGCCTACGGCCACAAAATGTAGCCCACGGCCACTGAGAGATGATCTACAGGACCTCTCCCTCCCCTCAGGGAAAGAAACAGAGAAAACCAAGTCTGGTTCGCAAACCGAGTCAAGGCAAAGAAGAGGGTTCGGAAGTCCGGAGGTGGGGCTCACGGCCGCGACTCTGAAACTTCTGAACGAGCACGATATGCAACGTCACCGAGCGCTCAATCGGTGATGTCTGAGTCTTAAGGTCGGTCAAAAATGGGGTGTCTACACTGCTGGAAAGCTCCCCAAGCTCCTGGAAATGGAGTAGTAGTGGTGATGCTAGGTGGTGATGAAGAAAAAGGGGTAGAACTTGGATGTTTTTGCTTGAAAGAGAGAGATAGAGGGAGATTTGGATGCAAGTCTTGAAGCAAAAAATTTCCCAACCCTTGGACCAAAGCTGGAGGCTGGTTATATGGACCAAGGAGAGAGAGAAATGGAGAGCAAAAGGTGGGGGAAAAAGGACCATCTTTTCCCCCAAAAGCTGTCCCCCGGATATAGATATATTTGGGGGAAAAAAGCTATACAGCTGTAAAGTACTCCCCCTGAGGAGAGAGGCCGGCCAATTTTTAGAGCTGCAGGTGGCCGGCCGGCCACCTCCCATGGCCGGGCGGCCAAGGGTCAAAAAGGTCAAGTGAAATTTCTGGCCGGCCACCACAGATAGGTGTCCTCCCAGGTGCCCTCAACACAACCCTGTGGTTCAAAATTGTCAACTGTAAAACAGGAGAGAGAACAAGCCATTTTAAGGAAGGGTTCAAAAGGGTCAGATGGAATTACTGGCCGGCCAGCAACTTTTGGTGTCCTCCCATGTGTGTACAACACAAATATGTGGTTGAAAGTTCAAGAAAATGGCCCAAGGTTGTTCAACATTGGCTCGGAAGTGAGAAAAAACCGGCGTCGGAGGGCGTCGGAGGGCATCGGAGGAATATAACTGGTTGCTGAAACAATTGCTGGCCTCCCACCCTTCTACGGCCTTCCTGGTGATGAAACAGAGGTACCAGCCAAAAATGAACGAAAACCGATGCAAAACGAATGTTCGGGGGCCAGAATGCGCAGTTCGGGGCTCCGAAAACTGCCTATTAAGCACCGAAAGTGGTATTCGCCCACGAAGTGGGTCTCTCAGACCTCAGTGTCCCTCAAAAGGCAGAAAATAAGAAGTATGCCAAAAATCAAAGCAAATGGAGGTGGTTAAGCGGTCCCGAACCGAGGCACACGGCCAATGGCTCCGAAAAACCAGAAACCGGACTCCAAACGGGCAAAATGGCCTACGACCACAAAACGTAGCCTACGGCCACTGAGAGATGGTCTACGAGACCTCTCCCTCCCTTCGGTAAAGAAACAGAGAAAATCGACTCTGGTTCACAAACCGAGGCAAGGCACAGAAGAGGGTTCAGAAATCCGGAGGCAGGGCTCACGGCCGCGACTCTAAGACTTCTGAACGAGCACGATATGCAACGTCACCGAGCGCTCAATCGGTGATGTCTGAGTCTTAAGGTCAGTCAAAAATGGGGTGTCTACAGATGCTTTCTGCTTTTGCCCTTCTCTTTATTGACAAGTGGCTACTGCTCCAAAATTTAGGATAAGATTCTTAGGAATGATCAATCAAATTCTCAGCTTTTGAATATTTTCCTAAAGAGTACTTAAGTTGTTGTGGAGAATGGGAATAGAATACATTTTTGGAGTGATTACTGATTGGGTGATCTGTGTATTAAAAATGAATTTCCAAGGCTTTTTATTTTATCAACAGAAACGAAAATTTCACTGAGAATGTTGGTTGAGACGAAGAAGAATTTGGCCAATTGGAATTTCATGTTTAGAAGAATATTACTGGGGTAGGATTCAGATGAATTAGATGGATTGGTTGTCCAGTTAAATCAAAATATGGTTGGTTTATCAAATGGAAATGATTGTCTACGATGGTTGTCTATTTCATTAGGTGAGTTTAGTGTTTCCTTTCTTAGTCTGTTTCGACCTCCTCCTTACATTATGTTTGGTTAGGGATTTGAGGAGGGATTTGGAAAGAGAAAGAGAAAGGGAAAGGGAAAAAGTGTGTAAATTTTAGGTAAAATGTAGGTATATTTTATTCACATTTCACCTACCTTTTCCATTTTCCTTTCCAATTTTTTTCTCAAATCCCCTAACCAAATACGGCATTATGATCACTAAGCTTCTATGGAACAATGCATATCTCCCCCGAAAGTGCAGTTTCTTAGTTGGTTGGCTTAAAAGAGGAGATTAAAGACATCTTCTTCCCTCCAAAGAATTAGAGTGTTGGGGCCAAGTGTCTCTGTTTTCTGTATGTTCTGTAATAATGAGGTAATCAATAGCTCATCTACTTCTATGGTGTCCCTTTTCTTGGAAAGTGTGGTCAAACCTGATGCATTGGTGGGGACTAAAATGGGTGATTCCTGAAAATTTGAAGGGTCTTCTAAACTGGTGGAGGGGTTTTTACTAGAGAAATTTTGCGAACACAATTTGAAGGGCTATGCCATTTGCAGTTATGTGGTTATTATGGAAACTTAGGAATGAGGTGGTGTTCACTAGGAAACAAATACATTTGGAGAATTATTTATTTATTTATTTATTTGAATACAGAATTTTTGTGAATTAATCAAGACTAGAATTGCTTTTTGGGTTAAAGCTCACTGTAAGAATTGCTGGTAGACAGTGCAGGAGATTATTTCTAATGTTCAACAAATTAGGTTTGTTGTTTAGTTCTTGATTGTAGTTTGCAATAGGATGTTCTAAGTTGTATTGGTAGTGGGAGTGTTCTAAGTTCTATTGGTGCTTCTTTGTCTATGTTTTTCGAGTTTGTCTTACCAACTCCATGGGCTTGAGCTAGAACATGATTTGGTGAGCTCTTAGTGTCAATATAGTTGGCATTAGGACGTTTCGCTATAATGCTTTCTGCTTTTTCCCTCCTCTTTATTGACATGTTTCTACTGCTCAAAAATTTAGGGTAGGATTCTTAAGATTGGTCAATTAGATTCTTAGCTTTTGAATATTTTCTTGAAGAATACTTAGGTTGTTGTGGAGAATGGGAGTAGAATCCATTTTTGGAGTGATTACTGATTGGGTGATCTGTGTATTAAAAATGAATCTCCTAGGCTTTTCATTTTATCAATAGAAATGAAATTTCCCTGAGAATGTTGGTTGAGAGGAATGAGAATTTAGCCAATTGGAATTTCATGTTTAGAAGAATATTACTGGGGTGGGCGTAAGGTGAATTTGACAGATTGGTTGTCTTGTTAAATCAGAATACTGTTGGTCTATCAACTGGAGATGATAGTCTAAGATGGTTGGCAATTTCATTAGTTGAGTTTAGTGTTTCCTCTCTAAGTCTGTTCATACCTCCTCCCTAACACTATGTTTGGTTAGGGGATTTGTGGAGAGATTTGGAAAGGGAAAGGGAAAAGGAACATGTGAAATTATATATATCCGAATACTCAGTGCTAAACAAATTATATATATCCGGATACTTAATTCAGAACATGTGAAATTTCTTTGAATACTCAGTGCCAAACATAGTTTTTTTTTTTTTGTTCATAATTGAAGTGTGAAGAAGTTAGAAAATTAAATGTTCGAAAAAAAAAAGAAGCCAAACATAGACAATTTGTTCGAATATTAAATACTGAATAATGACCAATTGGAAACACATTGTCGAATATATGAATTTTGTTTAGAAATGAGTTTCTGAATAAATGTAATTTGTTCAATACTAAATTTTCTAATCAATTCTGTAAACGAAACAACGAAAAATGATAAATATCAAATAAAAACGTACTTTATCTATAGAAAACTGCTTGAAAACATATTTTTATTGTCTATTGTTGATTTCAATATGAAATAGAATGTAAGAATGATGGATTCAAGCAAATAAGGTTAGGTATAAAAATCCAAAGCGAAGAGAGTAAGAAGAGACGAGAAATAAAAGAAATATTGGGTTAATGATAAATGGGGTGTACAAAACACTTTGATCTACATTTTTTCCAATAACAAGTACTTTTTGATCATTTTAAATAGGAACTTAATTGTAATAAAAAAGTTTCATTAAATTGGGGTGTCAAGTACTTTTTGACCATTCACTTCTCATCTCTTTCACATTCATCTTCTCTATATAAGCACCACCACCACCTCCCCCGCCATTATTAATTTTGCGTTTGATTGATAAACTTTTTTATTTTATTTTTTAAACACAATTATCAATTAGATCAAATTAATACAATATAAAACTTTAAAATTACATAAGCAAAACTATAGGAATCACTCATATAATTTACCATATATATATGACCATAAGCTTTTTTCCTTTTGCAAGTTATTGTTTTTGAGTCTTTGACCCCCTGTGCAAGAAAAAAGCTATGAAGAAATTACTATGAAAGAAACTTGTCTTTTATCTATACAAACACCCTCTATATGTAGGTGTCCAGTAGTCTGATCCTGTGTTGTCACGACAGACTTGAGGAGTGCATGAGATAGGAACAAGACAAAGACCTCTGCTCTTGAGATCCACCTTTACATCTCCTCCTCTCTCATTTCTATCCAAACCTCCCCATGGTTCCATCTGAAATGCACACATACATAACAAAACAAAACAAAACAAAAAAAAATAAAAAAATAAAAACCTTTAAGAGTAAGTCTACAAACACAGAAAAACGATTACAAAATTAGACACAAAATGTGTATATATATATGGATGGATAAATTTTTTTGGTCAAATTTTACTTTTATCCCTTTGTGGTTTGGTTTATGTACAAATTATCCTTCTAACCCCCTTATGTTTTGTAGGTTGAGCGTACCATTAGGAATTATGTCTATGTTAATTGCAAGTATAAAACACATGCCGAGACATAGAAGAGTTATGTACTCATTTTCAAATGTCTTGTAGTAAACCACACATGAAGTACAACATGGAGAATTAAACTGAATTTTGCTTTTCGAAAAATTGACAATAATATCTGCAGTTTGTACGTGAGGTTATTTATGTACAAAGATATTTTAGTATTTTCGTTTAAACTATTAACAGACCTAATAGTGCACTCTATTTCACAAATCACAATAATTATGTATTTATTTACAAATAACATGAGATTATGTTCACATGGGTCAAACCAGAAGAGCTAAAGTGAAATATTTCTAAAATTTTTAGAAATAACATGGCTTTGTAAAATCTTTTTTTTTTTTGGATCAACCAAAAGAACTTTATTGATGAGAAAAAAACCTTACAACAAAGATAGAAACACAATAATAAAGGAAGGGGGAATGATGCAAAAGCCATCATATTGAAACAGCCCAATCACAACTATGTTGGCACTAAGTTGCTCACACAATCATATGACAACACCAAACCAAGAATCTGTTGGTGAGGAACCAACAGAGACACAACAACACTACAACAAATCAATCAAAAGTAAAACCCATCAGCTATTTGGGAATGTGGTGAATCAATTGAAAAAGGCTAAAAATGATCTCCATGCTATAGATCTATTAGAAAAATTAAGACCAATTAGTACTCAAGAAACCACAAATAAGAGGGAAATTAGTAGTCTGGTGTGAAAGTTAGGAAAGAGGAATGATTGGATGTGACTCCAAAAATTCAGGTTGAATTGGGCACATAGTTGGGATAAGAACACTAACTTCTTTCATATCATTGCAAGTAAAGGCAAAGTAGAAATTTGTTGGACTTAGTGTTGATTAATGGAGTTAGATATGGTGAACCTGTGATGATCAAACAAGAAGTATTGAGGCATTTTTCTACAGCTTTTGAAGAAGACTGGGTTAGTAGACCAAAATTAGTTGGCTCTTTTGAGAGGCTAAGCTCAGTTAAGATTCAAGAGGTCTTGGAAGCTCATTTTACCATGGAAGAAATTTGGAGGGTGGCAAAGGAAAGTCACGGGAACAAAGCCCCCGGGCCGGATGGTTTCAACATGGTTGTGTCCAAAAGTGTTGGAAAATTCTGAAGAATGATGTATTCAAATTCTTGCATGAGTTCCATTCTAATGGAAAATTGGTTAAAGGTTTGAATAATTCTTTCATTGCCCTAATCCCTAAGCTGGTCAGTCCTTCAGGTCTCTCTGATTTTAGATCAATTAATTTGTTGAATATTGCCTACAAAATCCTTTCCAAAGTTTTCTCACGTAGGCTTAGTTTGGTGTTGCCACAGATTATTAATGAAGTCCAGTCTGCCTTCATAGGTGGCCATCATATATTTGATGGTATCATGATAGTTAATGAGGTCGTGAATTGGTGGAAGAAATACAGAAAGAAGGGGATTATTCTTAAATTGGATTTTGAAAAAGCCTATGACTCAGTTAATTGGAATTATTTGTGGTCTTTGCTAACAAATTTTGGTTTTGGGGATTTATAGGTGAGTTGGATGCAAGAGTGTGTGACCACAACCGGAATTTCTATTCTTGTAAATGGTTCTCCAACGGATGAATTCTCTCCTAGCAAAGGATTAAGGCAAAGAGATCATCTGTCCTCCTTCCTTTTTAATATTGTAGCTGAGGGCCTTAATATGTTGTTGGTACGAGCAAAAGAGATAGGGTTAATCAAGGGTATTTTAGTGGGCCAATCAGAGTTTCAAATAACTCACTTACAATTTGCTGATGATACCTTACTTTTTTGTGATGCTGAGGAGGCAGAGTAGGTGACTATTAAAAGAATTCTTAGGTGCTTCAAGATTATTTCAGGCTTGAAAATAAATTTTCATAAGAGTATGTTGTGTGGTATAGGAATCGATAAAGCTCTTGGCCAAGCTTTTGCAACCAAACTCAACTGTAAATGACAAAAACTACCAATCAAATATTTAGGGCTACCTCTTGGGGTTAACACTAAGAGAAGCAAGTCTTGGCAACCTGTGGTGGATAAAATAAAGTCAAAATTGGCACTTTGAAAAATAAAGTTGCTCTCTTTTGCTGGTAGAGTAACCTTGATAAAATCTGTCATATCCAATCTCCCTTGTTATTACCTATCTTTATTCAAATTGCCTGAGGGTATGGCGAAAACTATTGATAGAATGCAAACAGTCTTTTTGTGGGGGAGCTCTGAACAAAAAAGGAAAGTGCATCTTGTTAAGTGGAAGTTTGTCACAACTAGCAAGGAGCAAAGAGGATTAGAGATTGTGAATTTGAGGGAAATGAAGTGCAGTTTACTCATGAAATGGTGGTGAAGATATGGGGTGGAAGAAAAGGCATTATGGAGGCAGGTTATAAATAGCAGGTATGGAGTTGTTGGAGGAGGTTGGATATCTAATCTTAAGACTCTTGGGAGGGTGTCTAATGTGTGGAAAGGGATTCTCTTTGGGGTAGAGGTTAATTCATGAGCGGTCTTAATTCTGTTAATAAATCTACAGCATGGAGATCATTTTCAGCCTTTCTCAATTGAATCACCACATTCCCAAATACTTCGATAGGTTTTACTTTTGATTGATCTGTTGTAGTGTTGTTGTGTCTCTGTTGGTTCCTCACCAACAGATTCTTGGTTTGGTGCTGTCATAAGATTGTGTGAGTGACTTGGTTTGGTGCTGTCATTCAAGGACATTTGATAAAATCTTATTTATTTATATGTATTTTATATTTGATTTATGATGTGTTCCTATATTGAAAGCAGAACAGTAACTTGAAACTATCCGCCAAGAAATTTGATTGACAATGCCAAAGAATAAGTTCATTGTCTTACCTTGTTCACATTAGACTTCATGTAAGGGTTGCTCAAAAGCTGCATCTGCAAAGTATGAAGCAATGAATTAATAAGAAGACTTGGAGCAAATTATTTTTATTTATTTTCTTATTTATAATGTGGATTAATAGGATTTTTACCTATTCTCTATATGTATTGTTAATGATCTTATTAACCCAATTGTTTTTTGTATTAATTTGGCCTATATAATTCTAAATAATCATGATTGGGTTATAATTCCTATCACCCATTTCAGTGACTATTATTATTATTATTATTATTATTATTATTATTATTATTATTATAAATAATGGTCTACATTTGCCTTAATATTAACTTTTTATGATTAAGGAAGACAATAAGAGATGCTTTCACCTGCACTTGCTCTTGTAGGAACTTTATATATCCAATTGCCTCCCCCAACACCGATGCCGTATCCGTCTGGAAAACCGATCCAACGAATATTGCCCATGTCAAATAGTATTAATTAATAAATTAATGAATATCAATATCACAATTAAAAATAAGCAATAATAACAATAAAGCTTAATGAAATAACACAGTATTATTGGACAAGTCTAAGCGCTTTTTATGTTTATAACCTTTCCAAATGGCGACACAATTTGTTGAAGGGCTGTGATTTTGTCTCCAAGCTTGACTTTTGTGACCTGCATCTATTAATTTAAGAAATATATATTAATAATAAATTTTGGTGATATGTTGTTTGAGATTTTTTGTCATATACAAAATTATTTCGTTATGTTTGTTTTGTTTTCATAATTTTTTTTTATTTTTAAAAAATTAGTTTAACAAAAATAAACCACAGAAAAACAAATTTACGAAAGTAGTCTTTCTTTTTTTCGAAAAATAAATAAATAAATTCTGAAAACGAAATTAAACATATATGTATATATACCTTTGAAGATGAGAGTGTAGAAGAAGTGTCATGCTTAGGCTTCTTTGTGGGTGTCTCTGAATTATCTTCAGATCTTTTCTTCTTTCCTTCACTCGCAATACCCTGTCCTCCTCTTCCATTGCTTCTTGTCACTGTATGGCTTGTTGTTGATATTGTAGGCTGAAATTTCCAACATGAAAAACAGCGAATCAACTTCCAATATAGAATGCATGGTTTTATATAGCACTATGGTTAGAATATCAGTCACTACATAACAGTATCAAGAGTATCAAGCGATACATATTAGGGATCAAGTATTGTCATAGTGGATATTTTAGAAGTAATAAAAAAAAAATAGTAATAAAAGAGAGCTTTATAGCTGGTCGTATTGGTTGTGAATCGATTGTATGATCGGTAAATATGTTATGAACCGATACATATTGGGAACCATATTCGATACGTAAGTGATTTTCATTCCAACATGTATACAGGAGTGTGTCAATAGCGAAATAATGAAAAATGAGATAATGTAGTGTGTCAATAGCGAAATAATGAAAAATGAGATAATGTATCGATAGATACGGTAAGGAGATGGATTGGCATACTTTTAGAATAATATGAGTGTGAAGAATAAATTTTTTTTTTTTTTTTTTCTAGTAGTTTAAGCTTTTGGATGAATTGGTAGATAAAAATTTAACAATATTTAAAAATGAGATTTGAGATCGAGGGTTGGATAACAAGCAGGAGGGGGAGAGAGCTTACATGGGAAGAAGCTTGGATCCCTTGCTTCTTACAATCAGATAAACTCAATGATCTTAAACTTGGTTTAGATGCATGAACACCCACAATTGGCTTGCTCAAAAAACTATTAGAAGACATAGCATCTCCAAAACTTCTTGTACCATTGCATGGCACATCTGGCAATCCATAATAGTACTTGTTACTATCTCCTAAAATTGAATTGTAAAGCCCTAATTGATATTCAATCTCTCTATGTTCATCCTTAACTTTCATTTCATGACCATAACACGAATACGAACCAGAATTCCTGTTTATGCTTCCTGAAAACGTTGTCGGATTGCTCACTGATTGCTTACTATGACAAATATCAGGCTGTGCTGAGAACCTATAGATGCTGCTATTGATTTCAGAGTCTGGGGGTGCAATAGACCAGTTGTTTACCAAGCTTGATGGCAATTTGTTTAGCCTTTCACTTTCAATTAAGCCCTCGTTGAAACCATTAAAATGTTTTTCAAAATTGTTTATGACAGATTGTGGGTTTGTGAATTCCCAACTGTTGTCCATTTTCTTCAAGTAGTCACAAGCAGGCTCAAACATCATCCCAGTTGATAAACCCTTTGATGACAATATGTTGTTGTGTCCAATCTCTTGAGTGTTGTTCAGTTCTCCACTTGTCCCAATACTTCTGCAAGGTTCATTCATAAATTTTTATAGTGATGGTCAAGAATATACAAGTAAACATATCTCTGAAAAAAAAAAACATTAACTATATATTGCAAAAAATGAATATGTATGCCACTTATGCTGGTATTTTTTTGAGAACTCTGTTTGGTTTTATTTTCAAAAAACTATTTTTTAAAAAATTAGAAATTAGTTTGGTGAAAGTAAATACTAAAAAGATGTTTTTCAATTTTTAAAAAATATTTGTGCACAAAAACTAATTAAAAACAATCAAACAAACAAACAAAATGATTTTATTTTATTTTTTATTTTTATTTTTTTAAAAAAATTAGATTTTTAGTGTGCTTTTTAGAAAGAAAATGTTGAAAATGTTGAAAATGAAATCAAACGACATACTTAAGCTGTGTGCGACCCTGTCTCGCATGTGGATAGATAAACAAAACGAGAGAATGCAAAATTGACTGCACAATAACAAAGAGAGATAAGATTTGAACCTAGTAATTTTTAGAACTAGAGCTCTTGAATTATGTTAGATAATTAATTATTCTTAAAGTTTAAACTACTAGGAAATAAATCCAATGATGTGTATCAAGCAAACACTCAGATGGGTGTCGCACTGTCGCTTTCCCACCTGAATTTGTGAGGATAGAAGACAAAATAAAATGGATTCTCCATGATTTGAAATTAAAACAACAATAAAAGAAAAAGCTAAACTATAAACCTCCCTCTATTTGCACCTAGTGATTTGAACAACCTTTCTTTCTTTTCTTTTCCAAAAAAGATTCTATTCCCACTCAACCCATAAAAAGTACACAAAAGATGTTAAATAATGAAATCTATCTTCATGAATTTAGTTTTCTTCACTTTCAGATATGGTGCAATAATGAATACTCACAATAGAACATGGCTCCAAAGTTGATTATCAGAGGCTGTTTTGCCGATTAATTCATTGGCCGAGGCAGATTCAACGATATGGCGTGAGGATTCCAAGTCTACGCTTAAACTGGATTGGTTGGAGGCGTTAGTGAACGATGTGGAGATCGATACATCCTCCTCTCCAGAAGAGTTGGAATTAGGGTTTTGAGGTTGCCATGGATTGTTGTTGTTGGTATTAGTATTACTACTCCATGATGACAGAGAGCTCACATGAAGATCCGGCCACCAATTGAGTGTCGCCGGAGAGGTAGCTATGGAGGTTTCGTTGCATTCCTCAGGCATATTTGTAATGGATGGTGAAACTTCAAAGTGTAGTTGAATCTCTCTTCTTTCTCTTTTCTTTTCTCTTGTTTTCTTTTCCTTTCCTTTCCTTTCTTGCCGTTAGTGGGGGTTGGAATTTAAGGAGGATGTATCATATATCCCTTGTTGGTGTGTGTGCCTTTGTAGGTTTATATCAATTATAGGGCAGACAATAAAATATGCAACGTGAGTTTTTCCCACTAAGGTTTGTGGACAATAATTATAGTTGGGGGAGGGGCCATTGACGGTTTTTTTTTAGGTTTTGCCAATGTTGTTGAACAATGTATTTTGGATTATCATTAATTTGGAAAGTTGTTAAGAAATGAGTATGAGTAATCCCGTCATACCCGTAGAGATACAATTATTTAAGATGTTAAGAAATATGTTGGGCACACTCCCACAAACAGACTAGTTGAAGAGGACTCAATATATAATCTCTTTCCTATATACTCACTCCTTACCATTGGCTCAAATGGACAGGCTCCAAGAGCAATATGCTTTTATATTTAGAATTTTTATTTTAAAATATCAATGTTTTCATTTTATGAATGGATTTCACAATGTGTAGTTGAATCTCGATCACGGTTTTTTCATTTTGGGTGAAATTACGAACAATATTTCAAGATATATAGTTTTATTGGTTGGATAAATTATAAATATACTCTCTGAAATTTACTTAAAATACGATATGCCCTTGTAGTTTGGATATTACATTCCGTCTCTTAAAATTTCTAATTTCATAAAAAAAATGTCTATTTTATTAATAAATTATCAAATAAATTTTAATAATGTTAGAAATTTATTTCAATTAATAATTCATATAATTTTATTATTGTATAGGTGAATAGTTAGAAATTTTATTTTTTCAGTTAATTCTGTTAAATAAAAAATTCTGACTAGGGAATATTTGTGATTTTTTAAATCAGATGGACAGCTCATATTCTAAACAAATCTCAAGATGTGTTTATAATTTAGCCATTATTAGTTTGTAAATGGACACGCTTCAGATTCAGTGTACTCAAATCTCATTCATTCAAACAAATAAAAGATTTGGAATTGACAAAATAAATGATAAAACTGTCACTCTTTTTAATAACTTAAGTTTTAAATAAATTAATGATTAATAATTTAATGTAATATCAAAACAAAAAATACTCTGTGTTCAAACCTTGCTGACTACCAAATAATTATATATTTGCACATTTTTGGACCGTTTATGAATTTATGAATCAAAGTCATCTTTTATTAGACAGAATTAGAATTATTTATAACCAAATAATTACATATTTGCATGCATTTGAATTTCTGTTTTGGTTTCGTTTTCAAGTGAATATAAAAATTAAAAGAAAAAATTCCTTGAAAAACATTAAAACTAATTTGGTGAAAGTAATTAAAAAATTAAAAAGCATTCATCATTTTTATATGAGCAAATTATGCTTATAATCCTTACATTTTGTCTGTTGTGTCATTTTGGTATCTACAATTTCAATTGACTTAATTTTGATTCTTATTTTATTTTTTATTTTTTTTTATTAGGGGTTTTGATGAAAAATGATCATTGAGTTAATTGAAATTAACACATTGAATTATGCAAGTTTACAATTTTGCCTCTAAAAAGATGATAAATGTCACTTATGTATGCATTTTCTATAAATAAATAAAAAGGTAATAATTGTTATCAATTGAACCAACCAAGACAAAATCATAAATTTATAGTCAAAATTAACAAAATTAAAATTATAAGAACCAAAATGATACAAAAATCAAAATATAGGGATTGATAGTTCAATTTGTCCATTTTATATTGTTTTCTTCTTTTATTTCTTTTTTTTAAAAAAATTAAACATATTTTTGTATTTACTTTTAGCAAACTAATTTTTAGTATTTTTTAAAAACAGTGTTTTGACTGTTGACTATGTTCCCAAGTTGTCCTCCAAAATTCAAATGTGCAATAAAGTTATTCATCAGGTAGATAAGAATTGGATGAGTGGTATTTGTAAAAGTGGAGCGTTCAACATTACAAATGATGATGTTATGTATGTGCACCTCCAAATCATTTATGTTTGAATGTATTGTACATTCTTCTATTTTCTTATTCTTATTCATAAATTTTTGACAATTTTATTTTTAGCACTCAAAGAAAGCCAATAATAAATAACTTCTCTAACTTCATCACAACCCCTAAATAAGCAGTATTCAAGGTCAAGATTTCATTGCTTTAAAATCACTTTTGATTCCAATTTGGTGATATGTAGGGGAGAATTTGAGCCGCTCAACCTGAACAATTTGAGTTCAGTTCGAATTTTTTTTAAAATTTTGATAACATATTTTTAAATTTATTGTGAGTTTGAATAGAAATTTAAAAGATCGAATTAATTTTGTGCGTGCTTGGGCACAGAAACTAGATAACTTGAGCAACCTAAAACTCAAATTATATAAAAATATTCAATATATATAAATTATCAACCATTCGATGATTTTAAAATAATTTGGACATTTGGATCATATTCATTATACATATTATATACACATAAAACACAATACAAAATTTACCCTTTCCCTTTTTACCTAGAAATGAGACATACTACAACAGCAACACAGTGATTTCTCTCAGTTCTTTACTTTCTCTTTCATTTATCCCTTATCATATAAATTTATTTGTTTTTGATATTAATAATGTTTTTATCTTAAAAAAATTAATAATTGAAACATATTAATTAGCCTATAGTCGACAGGAGACTAAAAAGTCCTCAAATTTCTATGTAATTCGAACTTAACCCGATTATAATTTATTACGGTCAGGTCAGACTTGGATGTAGACACGTTCGGATTGGGGATTGGAATTTGACGGGCCTAGGTAATGTTGAATTGTAAGCTTGATTTAAGAAGAGCTTTCACCAAAACCTTCACGACCGTCCACCATTATGCATTTGAAGGCTGCAAAGTTGGAATTAAAGTTGAATAAGAAGCCTTTGGAAGTTAGAGTTTTGTTTGAAATTCATTAGTTGTAGTTTGAATTTCATATGTTTAGATTTTTTGTTTACATTGTTTGTTTAGTCTATAATTCGATTGAGTGGTTAGTTATTTGATAAGAGTGCAGGAGAAAGAAAATAAGAGAGAGAGAAGCTTGGAGTATATGGTCTGTTTGTTTTTCTAAAATATTTGAGTGAATTTAAATTAAGTTTGGTTTAATGTTAATCTTCTCTTTGTGAATCATAATAAGTGATTTACACCTCACTGCCACCAACAAGGGGCATAAGAGCCAGAAGAGCCAAGAATTGGCCGAATTTCTCAAAAACAAATTATGAAACAGAGCAAATTTTAGAATCTAAAAATTTTGAAATTGTCAAAATCAACTTTTGATCATACCATTGTGTAGCCCTCGTCAAGACAATAGTTCTGGAAAAAAAAAACCACATTGAAAACCTAGCTAAAACGAAACCATACGGGTCAACGCCGTTGCTGACATCATCATACCGAAGTTCACAAGAAATTATTCAGTGATTTGCGGATCAAAGATTCAACAAATCTGAACCAACCAAATTGTTTTGGCTTAAACTAAGGGGTTGTTTGGAGTGTCCTAAATAAGTGCACTTTTTGACTTTTTGGACTAAAAAGTAGATAGGAAAAAATATGGTTATTTGGGATAACTTTTTGTCTTTTTACGAAAAATATATGTATTAAAATATTGTATAAAATAACAAAATTACATTTTTACCCCTACATATATAAATATGTATTGACAGTGATGGTACATGAAGACAGTACGGTCGCAGCAAGAGATATAAGAAAAACTTGCCTACGATGCTGTTTACACAGGACGGCATTGTTCGGGCGCGTAGGGGCCCACCATGGGTCCCATTTTGAAAATTAGAACCGTTTAATGTGTAAAACTGATCGAGTACTATATACTTGTAAACAATCACGTTGATCGGATATCGATAGCTATCTGATTGGATTAGTTTTTTTGTCAACCGTTACTTTGTGCACCGTCTATTTTTTTATACAAAACTGATTTGATCATATAGTTATCGATATCCGATCAACATAATTTTTTACAAGCAAATAGTACTCTATGAGTTCTACACATTACACGGTTCAAATTATCCAAAAAGGACCTAAATGGGTCCCTACGGGCCGAACAGCACCGTGTGGTGTAATTTTTGTGTACACCTTCTTTTCAAACTCACCATCACTTGTAAACAATCACGTTGATCGGATATCGATAACTATCTGATTGGATTAGTTTTTTTGTCAACCGTTACTTTGTGCACCGTCTATTTTTTTATACAAAACTGATTTGATCATATAGTTATCGATATCCGATCAACATAATTTTTTACAAGCAAATAGTACTCTACGAGTTCTACACATTACACGGTTCAAATTATCCAAAAAGGACCTAAATGGGTCCCTACGGACCGAACAGCACCGTGTGGTGTAATTTTTGTGTACACCCTCTTTTCAAACTCACCATCACTTCAGACCACTGTGTCACGTTCAGCCATGATGTTGGTGTCACGTCCCAAACTTGCCCCTAAAAGTTCGGGCATGACCTATGCAGATACGGACACATGACCTGATATACATAATATACGGGGCCTGAACGGAAGCATGTAATATTACAAAGTAACATAGAATAACATCCATTGAGCTAAAACTAACATGCCAGGATCACATACGTGAGAACCATTTATCTATATACATACCCATACATATAAATGAGCGTATATCCGAACATTGGTAAAGAAATGGGGTATATACATACATTTTAACCTTAAGTAAATAATTAAAGTGCAGGCCAAAATCTTAACAAACTTCACATAAATGCATGGGCTTGGTCTGGGAGTCTGGGCATACTGAGGTTGACAATTGAAGGGTAAGCATCAAGGGTTAAGATGGACTCCCAAAGTAATTACCTACAGAACAGACATAACACAAAGTGAGCGAAGCTCAGTGAATAATAGTATATAAATGATTCAATATTCAACTTAATCATAATACATATCAATGCGTATGTAAATGCGGAGATCATTTAATTAATCTGATTCTATGCTAATTTCAGAACGGCCTTAGGCCCAATCTTGAAACATTATGGCTTTAAGCCTTTGAATGGATTGGTGATAGCCCTTGAACATATTAACATATGGCATAAAGCCCTTGTACATATGGCATGAAGCCCTCGAAAAGTTGGCATTAAATTTTTTTTCAATTATTCTTTTAATTGATTTTTTTTTCAAATATTTTTTTTCCAATTAAAATTTTTTTTTCAATTATTTTTTTAATTAATTTTTTTCAATTATTTTTTATTTATAAAAATAAATAT